GCCCTGCTAAATAAAACTAGCATAGCAGCAGTTAACCCTGCATGTTTCCAATCTAAATCACAAAATAAGAAAGCCTTTCTTATTTCATTTTGTCCAGAATATGTGAATTCTAACCCTGAATTACTGGGTTAAGTTAACAATTGGATCAGGGCCACAAGGAACTGAATTTAACTTTTCTCAGTATGCAACAATTCCATATCCTTAAAGAGCAATCAGCTTTATGTTACAGGCATGGTATGCCACATATTTATTTAATTTAAAATACTAAATAACCTCTCATCCGTTGATTATGTCTAGAGACATTTTTTCCAGTATTTGAAAGCACTTTCACAAAATAAATTCCTCTATATGCATTCATCTGCAAACCTCATTATGAGTTTCTTGTTTAAGATGTTTGCTAGCGTGGACTTCAAAAGGGTCATTTTTGCAGATTTTGTACTCTGCTGATGTAGAAAATAATAATAATGTTGTAGTCTGAACAATCTGATTCCCACTATAATTTAATACACGTAGGCTACCAGTCATTTCTATGCCATGTTCATAGGTTAAGAACAAAATCCTTAATAATCTCTTTTACATATACAATTTCATTCTATCTTTTCATCTTCCTGAAAGATCAGGAGTATCTTTGTGCAGGTTTGTGATATTTTAAAATTGTACTGCCTGCTTATGGTAAGTGATAGAGGGGAGTTTTGATTTGGTTTGTAAAATATTCTGCCTTTAGAGTTAGAGTTTCACAAAAAATTGTAGGTCCTTAGTGCAATGGCTTTACAAACCACCATACAATAACCTCCAATGGTGTCATTCAACCTTTAGGCTGCAAAGGTATCATTTGATGGGGTATGGGCCAGAAAGAAGTTTAAATCATACATAAAATAATAGAAAAAGGGAAGCAAAGGTATGCAAAATTCAGATTTATTATTCATACATAATGTAGTTTTCATCTATAGATACACTGTAGGACAATGTATCCCAACATTTACTGCTCTCTCAGTTCCACTTGTAGTGCTAAATGTTACCATTTACACTTCTTAAAGCAAACTTTGCACTAATATGCAAGGTTCGCATATGTTCACAAAGCACTACATTATAGAACAAAAACAGAAAAATACATTGTGAGAAAATACATTCAAAATATTGCCTCCTGCTTCATGTCACTGACGTCACTGGGCCTCACAGAGGGATCTTGGGAGGGATCCCAGTTGTTGCAAATGGGTGCTATTGTACTTAACAGGAGTGTGTTCATATGGAATTTGGGTTCCTCAACTTTCTCAGGATCCTGGAAGATGATTCATTGATATCACCTCACCTAAGCGAGGCTCCTGAAATCCTGGGAGTACAGCAAGGGTCCATTCACACCAGGTGTGATGGAACTGCGTTGGGGTAGCTATTCCAGCACAGTCTTGCCGCAAGACAAGGTAAAATGCAACACAGCAACTGGTGTAAATAGACCCTAAGAATTTTACAGGATTTTCTCCTAAAGTTTTTTTTTTTATTTCCATAATGCATCATTTGACAGCAGGGGGTGGGAGGCAGCCACAAGTGTGGACCTTCCATTTTACTGCAAGGTCTGATTTACTGTGTATTGGGTGGTACTGCATAGTCTAGAATTTTCTGGTTTTAAACATCAGTCTCCTCACAAAAGTGTCAGTACCCCATTTTGCATGCAGGATATACAGTAGTGCTGACCTGCGTATATTGTGTTACTTATTTGATTAGTATATTCATGAATGTATTTTTCACTGCAGGTTGCCATATCCTATATTTAGGCGTCTCTGAAGAGATTCTATTCCTGTCTCGAAATACGTCAGTTGCCTTTCTATTCATCTATGCAATATTGGCTCTCTTGAGTGTGTACTTTATGTGAATTATGATTGATGTAAAAAATATAAACCCCCTTATTCTATATTATGTGATTGTAATTTTATTTTGTGCAATAGTCTGTTTTATGACTTTATAATGCATGCACGGTTTGTGCCTTAAAAGTCCCAAGAGAGGTGTTTCCTGTTGAATAGTCTAGGACATGTACCCATTCAATGACTGTTTTACAGCATTCCCTTTATTTTCATCCCAACATTCTGAGAAAGTTGGAGGCCAAGAATTACACTGCAAGCCCTAAAGAGGAGTCCACAGAAGGAGACACATTGGGGTTGATTTACTAAAACTGGAGAGTGCAAAATCTGGTGCAGCTCTGCATGGTAGCCAATTGGCTTCTAACATCAACTTGCTCAATTAAGTTTTGACAAAAAAAAAACTTGAAGCTGATTGGTTTCTATGCAGAGCTACTCCATATTTTAAACCCTCCAGATTTAATAACTCAACCAAATTATAGGCACTGAATAAAAAAATGTCCTCCCTCTAGTTTGCTCTAGTTCCCTTAGCTTGACACACTAATGTCTGCAATTTTATAGCCAATTGTGTGTTTTCAAGTGTTTCCAGAAACCACTACCAAATATGAACTATTCATCTTGTAACTAACTTACTAGTACATAATCAGTGAATAAAAGCTCTGCTCCAGTCTACCCATAGAGGCCCAGGTATTCCTCCATGGGGTACTACCATATTGCCTTGCACACATCGTATAGAAGGTGAAGCCCACAAAAATGAAAAGAGCTGATTGGGCATATTATATCACTATGCGTACATGCTTGGAGAGTGCAAAGAATCACTTTAATGTCTGTGGTCTCAGGAGGTAAAAATGTAGGAATTCAACAGATGTAACCTCTAACTCTCTATCTCTATAGCTCTGAATGATTCCCATCTTTCTATACCTAAGGAGCATTATACTCTAGGCCAGCAGTCTCTAAATGGCGGACAGTGGTCCACGAACGGTCCCAGCAGCGCTGCCACCCAGACCACTAGCCCGGAATGACAGATCCACTGCTGAGCAGAGCGGTTGTTACGGCAACATGACATCACGTGTGCACCCCACCCCTTCCAGCTCACTGTCTCTCCGGTCCTGCTCCCTGCCTGTACATAAACGTCCAGCAAGGATCCCGGCACAGCTCCTGTCTGCCCTCAAGGTAGGGTGTAGTCATACAGGGGCACTCTGATGGGCACATTTTATGTTAAGGGTCACTCTAATGGGAACAACATAGAATGTGCCCATCAGAGTGCCCCTTAACATAAAATGTATCCATCAGAGTGCCTCTTAATATAAATGTGCCCATCAGAGTGCCCCTTAATATAAATGTTCCCATTAGCATGCCCCTTATTTTATGTTAAGAGGCACTCTGACAGGCTTATTTTATGTTAAGGGGCACTCTGACAGGCTTATTTTATGTTAAGGGGAACTCTGATGGGCACATTTTATGTTAAGGGGCACTCTGATGGGCACATTTTATGTTAAGGGGCACTCTGATGGGCACATTTTATATTAAGGGGCACTCTGATGAGCACGTGTTATGTTAAGGGGCACTCTGACAGGCCCATTTTATGTTAAGGTGGCACAAATGGGCACATATTGTGGAAAGGGACACTCTTATGGGCACATGTGATGGAAAGGGGCACTCTGATGGGGAATATGATGTAAAGGGGCACTCTGATGGGGAAATATGATAAAAATGGGTACTTTGAGCGTAAGAGGGCACTCTGACGGGAATACCTGATGTAAGGTGGCAATGTGATGGGGATACCTGATGTAAAGGGGCACTCTGATGGGGAAAACTGATGTAAAGGAGCACTCTGATGGCACACATGATGTGGTGGGAATACATGATGTAAAGTTGCACTCTGATGGCGACACCTAATGTAAAGGAGCACTCTGATGGGCACACATGATGTGGGGGGAATACATGATGTAAAGTTGCACTCTGATGGCGACACCTAATGTAAAGGGGCACACTGATGGGCACACCCTATTCGGACTTCAGCCAGAAAAGAATTTTAGTGACTGGATCTCCTTGAATTTTAATTCGCTACCCCTGCTGTAGACTCTGTATTTATAAATACATGATTAAAGTTATGTTTACAGGCAAGCAGTGTAAGTACCCGAGTTTGACCTGGCATCAGACTCTTGCTGTCCTTGTACTTTGAAGGACAGCTCTGAATTAAAGGCCTGAATTGCAGCAATATTTGCAGGGGTTATTTCTTTTTTACATTTTTAATTGGAGTTCTACTTTAAGACAAGCATTTACAGTCAAAAGAATCTAGTTTTTGTTTGATAAATTGACATCGCTTTAAGATGCTGATTTTGAATCCATATAGATTCTGTGCATTGTTGTCAGAAAATGAGAAAAAGCTCTCATAATAGTACAGTGCTTTAACAGTAGAACACAAAATCTCTATATTTATATCACTGCTCAGTTGGAACTACATGACAGGGCAAAAAAATCTGACTACTCCGTTAGCAGGTAAACATCACTCAGAGAACCTAAATACGGAAACGCAAAAGGAAAAAAAATTGGGTCACAACTTAATTATACATACATGTTATCTGACTCTGGTGACTAAAAATAGGTTTGATTCCCAGCATGGTGAGACCAGGCTTTAATTTTACATGTAGCATTTATAATATGATACCAAGGCTGTAGTGTAGCTACACACAACTCCTACAATTATTTCCTACTAAGGTTTCAAGATGTGTAATGGTGCTGATATAAAAGATTAATTCTGTGTTCAGGTAGATGCGTGTGTTCTGAGCACCACATGCCAAGTATCTGACTTGGATACTACAGAGGGAAGTGTTAATGGCATTATTCACATTCAATACAAAATACACTATATTGCCAAAAATATTGGGGCGCCTTACTTTACACACGCACATGAACTTTATTGGCATCCCAGTCTTAGTTCGTAGGGTTCTATATTGAGTTGGCCCACCCTTTGCAGCTATAACAGCTTCATCTCTTCTGGGAAGGCTGTCCACAAGGTTTAGGAGTGTGTCTATGGGAATGTTTGACCATTCTTCCAGAAGCACATTTGTGAGATCAGACACTGATGTCAGACAAGAAGGTCTGGCTCGCAGTCTCCGCTTTAACTCATCTCAAAGGTGTTCTATCCTCCCCAAACTCTCTGATCCATGTCTTTATGGACCTTGCTTTGTGCACTAGTGCGCAGTCATGTTGGAACAGGAAGGAGTCATCCCAAAATCAGTGGCGGACTGACAACTCATGGGGCCCCTGGGCAATAGGGGATCATGGGGCCCCTGTGTCCTTGCCCAAACTCAAAAAAGCCTATGAAAAAGGTACCAGGGGCATCTCATGGGACCCCCTACTGACCCCAGGCCTCGGGCAGTACCCGAGTTTCCAAATGGTCAGTCTGCCCCTGCCCCAAATTGTACCCACACAGTTGGCAGCATGAAATTGTCCAAAATGTCTTGCCATGCTGATGCCTTAAGATTTCCTTTCAATGGAACTAAAGGGCCAGACAGAGAAACACAATTCATCACTCGAGAGAACACGTCGCCACTGCTCTAGAGTCCAGTGGGGGCGTGCTTTACACCACTGCATCCGCCACTTTGTATTGAACTTGGTGATGTAAGGCTTGGATGCAGCTGCTCGGCCATAGAAACCCATTCCATGAAGCTCTCTATGTACTGTTGTTGTGCTAATCTGAAGGCAACATAAAGTTTGGAGGTCTTTAGCTATTGACTTTACAGACAGTTGGCGACTTCTGCGCACTGTGCGCTTCAGCAAGTGCTGACCCTTCTCAGTTATTTTACATGGCCTACCACTTCGTAGCTGAGTTGCTGTTGTTCCCAGTTGCATCTACTTTGTTATAATACCACTAACAGTTGACTGTGGAATATTTAGCACAGGTGGCAACCTATCACAGTACCGCTCTTGAATTCACTGAGCTCCTGAGAGCGACCAATTCTTTCACAAATGTTTGTAGAAGCAGTCTGCATGCCTGCGTTCTTGATGGCATATCCATTTTCAATGATTTCTTGCAATGAGTGCGATTTCCATCATATTCTATGTATGTAAAATCGCAACAAAACTGCAAAAAAAGTAATGCAAGAACTACTTTAGAAATCGTGCTGCTACAAATCGCACATTAAGACACTGACATTCACATTCATTAGATGCGATTTCAGGTACTATTTTAATTCGCAGATCGCACCTAAAATCGCACCTGTATGACCGGGCACTAAAAGGGAAGTTCTGATTTATGCCGTTATGCCATGGTGCTCCACCAGAAGTTCTTCCCCACCACAATCTTCTGGGACACATCACAGGTCCCAGAAGGCTGCTGGGCCATTCACAAAGTACAGTTTGTACACACACAATGGGCAGCCTTCTGTGAAGCCACAAGGAATCATGGCCGGGTGCCCACTGTAAACATGCCGATGCCAGGGCTCTACAGACTGGCAGAGAAGCAGTTTGGATAAGCATGGTGCTGGACCCTTGGACAGGTGAGTCTTGCATACCATGAACTCTTTTATTGTAACTGAAGATACTTTCACACATATCAGTAGCACCATTATTGATGAGCCAAATGTACCCAGGTTTGATTTGGGGTACATTCTGCAAACTTTACTAAAGATTGGATGCTGAATCAGAACTGCATTGAATTCAATGGGAGGCAAATCTTTAATCAGTAATGGCCATTTTCTAGGCTAATAGGCAAGGAAATATCAAACATAGGGCATAGGGGCTCCGGGCACTGCCCTGAAGGATAATATTTAGTCAATTATGTCACCCAGGGTGTTCTGTCCCTTTGTTTTCATTCAACTGTGAGGCTCGGCAGCTATCAATCGCTGTGAGCAGTCATAGGGATCAGACGTGTTGGCAAGTCAGCATATTTTTCTTCTTTGTTGGTAAGTACTCAGGAGGCATCTTTCACCGTGAATGTCACTAGATGTTCTGACTGTGGATATGTGGTACATTTTGTTTTGCTTTTTTTTTTAAATAAAGGACTTGTCATACTGTGGTGTCTGTATTATTTACATGTTTGTTTGTGAATGAATAGTGGTGCTATGTATACCTTACCCATTCATGTAGGGTGTAGGTTGTATGTGGGAGCCTCCCTAATTTTAGAGGGGATTTACAGATTCCAATAAGCCCCCACCAGCACATCATGGATCTCCAAATATGGTCCAAAGAGGTTTTTATTTCAAAAAGATCACAAAAGAGAGTGCAACGTTCCCGGAGCCATGCAGGATCCCTTTGTCAGGCATGTGATGAAGGGGTCCTGCATGGGTCTGAAACGTTGCACTTTCTTTTGTGATGTGATCTTTTTGCAATGAAAACCTCTTTGGACCATATTTGGAGATCGATGGTGTGCTGGCGAATATGTACCTATATGTGCCTATGATATTTCCAGTCCCAGCTGGTAGGTGCTACAGCACCCACGATTGATGAGCCGTATTTCCAGGAATGTGTGTGATGGGAATACAGGTAAGATAAAACCTCACAACCACCAGGCCATGCAAACGGACCTGATGCCCTGTTGTTTTTTGAGTGGGGTAACCTTTAAAAATCATGATTTTTGGGAGGATTCCCACTCCCTTTTTTCTTCTTTTTTTTACATGGCAACAACCATTTGCCACCAGTGTCATTTTATGTCCCTCTCCAAATGGCACTGGTGTCCTGTGCACAAATGTTCTTGCATTGTCACCAACCCTATGGCAACCTCATGCAGCTATGCAACAGTGGCTAGAGAAGGCTGAAGAAAGTTGCCTCTTCAGTCTAAAGTGTATATTTACTTTTGCATCAATATTGGGATAACTCCTACTTTATTTGTTACATGTTCCCATTAACATAGCATATCTTAAAGTATCACTAAATGCAAAACATTTTTTTTTTTCACTTTCAGATAGAGCGGAGAGGGATTATGTTGTAGAACACGTCAGGTGTTCATTGCTGTCTGTGCCCCCATTAGGGAGATTCGCCCTCTCTTTACTATTTTCTGTTATCACTGATAGTGAAAGTAAAAGAAAATTCCAAAGTTTGAGCTATTCCTAGTACGGGAATAGAGAAGAAATTGTCCAATGGGTACATTAGTTCCAGTGACCCTGGTGACAACCAGGGATTCCCTCGCTTTGTAGAGATTTCCTCCATTTTCTGTTTTGGCTATGGGTCAGGAATCAAAGAGTAATCTCCCCAATGGGACACAGATGGCATATTTAAAATTGCTGGTTGCCCTGTTAAGTACTTTTACTTGCTAAAAATCATGTTTGTCATGTGTCAGAGGAAGCTGTGGAGTAATATTTAACATAATTAACCCTTTCTGTACTGTGTTTTCAATTCAGCTGTAAACTACAGGGCGGCACTGGTGCGCAAATCACGTATATACACATAATTTTGCATTTCTGGGTAGGGGGTGTGCGCGAGCCGCATGCGTGGCCTACCCACGCCGCCGTTCATGGCCGCAGCTGTCAATCACCGGCTCCCGGCCGGTGATTACCTGCCAGTGCCCGGTGATTACCAAGCATCTCCGATGGGGAGGAGGACTGTTTTATTTACTAACAGATCTCCTCCCTGTCAGCTCTGGCACACTGTTTTGGATGGCTGTGCACAGCATAGCCATCCAAAGCAGTGTGCTTACAGTGAAGCAAAACACTCCTGGCACACAGTTAACTAATGGTACTGGGCAGGAAGGAGTTAACATGAGGGGTGATCAAAGGGTTAACTGTGTGCAGGAAGTGTTTTACTAGGGGGCCGTGTCAGTGTGCTTCACTGTAAGCACACTGCTTTGAATGGAAAAAAGAAATTCCAGTATCTACACCGCCATTTGTAAATGCTATAACTTTCATGTAAACCAATTAATTAAAAAGAAAGTTCAATTCGTGGGAAAAAAGGATGTAAATTCGGACATAATGTCAAAAAACCTCCAAAAATGGGAGGGAATTGGGAAAGCGGATAAATAAATTACAAGCATGTGATGCTCCTGTAAATCACCTGCGGGCATGTCACACAATCACACCTGAAAGCAGATAAAAAATTCATTTGGGTGCAGCGTTGCATGACCGTGCAATTGTCAGTTAAAGTAACTCGTGCAATTGTCAGTTAAAGTAACTCAGCGCCGTAACACAAAAAATGGCCTTGTCAGGACAGGGGGTAAATTCTCAGGACGGCACATGCTTAAACACTGCGGGGGTTATTTACTAACAATGAAGAGTGCAAAATCTGATGCAGCTCTGCATAGAAACCAATCAGCTTCCAGGTTTTATTGCCAAAGCTTAACTGAACAAGCTGAAGTTAGAAGCTGATTGGCTACCATGCACAGCTGCGCCAGATTCTGAGTGTTCCCGTTTTAGTTAATCTCCCCCTGTTTGCCCTGAGGGTTAAAATGTAGAAACCATCCTCCTGCAATGTACAGTAGCCCCGGTTCACATATATGTGGCTGTGCATGTTGCGTTTTGTGCGGGCACGAGAGCCCATTCATTTGAATGGACTCTCGTGCCCTGTGACACGCAGGGAAGAAGTCCCTGCACTTCTTCGGAAAAGGCAGCACGCACGGGAACCTGTGACACGCAGGGAAGAAGTTCCCTGCACTTCTCTCGAACCTCTTTCCCAGTACAGTTGCGTTTTCCAATGCAGGGGGCGTGCCATTAGAACTAATGACACCCGCCTGCGGGTCCTCATTTTTCTGTGTGGGTGGTGCAGCTGCACGGATTTTCATGCGGATCCGCAGCGGCACCACCCGCACAGATGTGAACCTAGCCTTAATGAGGGATAGCTCTGTCTGTCTGGGAATAAAGACACTGTGAGACTGTCTAGAAATTCTTAGATTCAGCCATGACATCTTTCCTTAATAACATCTACTGCAAGAAATAGGCAAGAAATATGTTTACATTTTTTTAGGTATGCTGTGTGAATGAGAATATACTGTATAGCAAACACATGGGGTTTTCTCAGATTTGACTGCAAAAGTGGAAATCAGGGGTGGACTGACCATTTGGAAACTCAGGCACTGCCCGAGGACCCGGGGTCAGTAGGGGGCCCCATGAGATGCCCCTGGTACCTTTTTCATAGGCTTTTTTGAGTTTGGACAAGGACACAGGGGCCCCATGATTCCCTATTGTCCTGGGGCCCCATGAATTGTCAGTCCGCCCCTGGTGGAAATACACTTTAAGGAAGTTGTCTCATTTCAGATATCCAAATACACAAATGCTCTATATATACTATGGTACAGTGGGGTTGATTTACTAAAACTGGAGAGTCCAAAATCTGTTGCAGCTGTGCAAGGTAGCTAATCAGCTTCTAATTTCAGCTTGTTCAATTAAGCTTTGACAAAAAAAACCTGGACGCTGATTGGTTGCACCAGCTTTTGCACTTTCCACTTTTAGTAAATAGTATGCCAAAAAACAATATTTAAGCAAAATAAAAATGTAATTGTTGGAAAACAGGTCATCAGTAGATAGGTCTCAATAACAGTTTTAATAAAAAAAAAGAAAATGCCCAAAACGACTTGCTTTGTATAAAATATTAGTTCTGAAAGTAAAAGAGCAGTTTATTATAAAACATTTATTAAAGTGAACTTGGGCCCAGACTCTGCACGCTAAAGTATTTCCCATATTATAAACAATCAGTTAAAGCACTTTAATATACATCCTACACTCCCTTGTGACTTAAAGTGTTACTAAACCCAGGACCCTGCATTCACTCTATCATGTCTCACACAGTACACAGAACATGGAAGTGCAATTATTTTAGTAAATATAAACTGCTAAGTACCTTTTTCTCATCAGCAGTTAGAGCAGTCTTGTGGCTTCTATCAGTGTTCAGCAGAGCACTGGTTAAAGCTAGTAGGAGGAGTTTTCTTTCTGGTCTAGGAGGATGCAAAATCCTTGACCTCTGTCTGGACAGTGCTGATTGGCCCTGTGCTGATCACATGCACTCTCCCAAGAAAAAAAACCTCTCTAGCAATACACACTAAATTGAGCATGTGCATGTGGCTACGGATTCATTCTGTTTTATCAGGAGATAGGATATGAACATTTGAACAAGAGGAGGGGCAGAGAAAACAGGATCAAATGGCCTTTTTACACAATGCGGAGGATTAACCCCTTAGGTTCCACAGTGAGTATTACAAGCATGCATTACTGCATATACAGACTGATTTTACTGTTGTGGGTTTAGTAACACTTTAAGCCATTGTGGAAAAAATCATCTTGAAAGTTCATAACAGAGGCACCAAAATCTTCACTCTTTCCTTATTGTTCTATTGCTACAGAAGCTTGGCAGCCTGCTAGCCTTGTGCAAGCAAACACCAGGTGCCAAATCTGTTTTATCTTTGAGAATGAATTACCTTCACAGCACATACAATTATAGAGGTCAGTACTGGTTTGTTCTAAAGCTCTTTTACTGCTTGTTATGGATATATAAACCTGTAATGTCTATAATCTGAGCACAGGTGCACTTTAATTCTGCAAATATATAAAAGGCCAGAACTGATATTTCTCTATTTTGCCTTGAGAAATATTAATTGTGCAGTTTTGCCTTTTTATCAAGCTATTGTGGGCAGTTTCTTCATTCATTATTGCCAAATTCTGTTTCTCCAAAATGGAATTCATTTTCACTTTTTCACACTTTGTCAGTTTATCATTTGCTTTTTTTTAAATAGCTGCAAACCGTTCCATATACACGGAGATTAAATAAATCCTCCTACATAAGTTGTACCTGTTTATCTGCAGTCTTATCTTCTCTACAGCTGTTCAAGGTTAAACATTTACACAGGATCTCTCAGCTCTGAAAAGCAGGGGCAGGGAGCTGATGTTCCACTCTGCATAGCTCAGTGAGAGCTGATTGGAAGAAGGGACACACTCCCCTTCACGCAAGAACAGAGCTGAGGCTGTCAATGATAGGCTGTGTGCTGTAGGTCCCTCCCCTGTCACCTTTTTATCTCTTGGTGTCAGTAAAATGTGTCTGCAGATAGCAGAGGAATGAGGCAGAAGACAGAAGTGCCCACATTATAGGGGGATATGCTTTGTTTGTGTTTTCTGTCTGAGGTTTACAACCACTTTAATCAATTTGCATTGTTGCATTACATTGTATGTTGACATTGCAATGTTTTGTGCAAAACTTGTATGAATGTCTGGAAAACCAAGCAGTTTAATGGAATGAAATTTGGCAAAAGGAAAAGTTATTATTTTGGCAATATTTATAAATAGGTGCCATATGTTAATGCTGCTGAAAACAGCACATATTCATAACTTTTAATGCTTGTACACATTTTTCATTTTGATATCCGTTCATGTGTACTGAAGCATGTAGTTACCATAGAGATTAATGGTTCACTGTACAGTCACTGCATCTAAATTTGCTGGTTTGAATTGCTGCATATATAGCTATATGAACACTAAAGCTGGCCATGGACAGTAATAACTACTTAAGACCCACAGATAGATGATGTACCTTTTCTTTTCAAGTCAGAAAGCATTTCTTTTACCGTGTATAAAGATATCACCTGTTACTTTAGGGAAAAAACAAAGCCATTTCTTTCTGTATTTTGAGTAGAGTAAGATCTGAGTCTTTATTGTTGTCTGTAAGTCTGGTGTTGGATTTCCTGGAACTCCCATACCTGTCATGGCACCTACAGTGGGTCTCTATTGTGAGCTAATGCTCCTAGTTCTTACTTCCAAAGGGCATTTTCTATATGTTGTCATTAAAAAAATCCATATAGGGTCACCATTTTGTCTTTACAATACCAAAATATAAATAATTAAATAATATTCCAAACTGACAAAACATTACTAACCCATGCTTTAACCTGGTGTAGCACCCTCCTTTAATTAGGTTGTTAGGTTAAATGCAGTTTTTGGCTCCACTGTAGATAGTGGAGCAGTGATTGACTGTTTTGTTTTGTTCTGTTCAGGGTTTACTGAGCTGAGAGTCTGATTCCTCCCACACACTTCTGAAAGACGTTTCCAGCCTATAGGTCAGGAAAATTCATATGATCGGTGTGAATAATTGTCATGCCCTAGCAGGGTCGGACTGAACACTCATGGGGCCCCCGGGCAATAGGGGATCAGGGGCCCCTGTGTCCTTGCCCAAACTCAAAAAAGCCTATGAAAAAGATACCAGGGGCATCTCATGGGGCCCCTTACTGACCCCGGGCCCTCGGGCAGTGCCTGAGTTTCCAAATGGTCAGTCCGCCCCTGTGCCCTAGCCAATCTCTGGAAGGAGGTATCCAGTAGATGGCTGGGGAAGTGATAAATGTTTAGGAAGCTCTGCCACAGTGTTCTTTTCCTTCCAGGGAGGGTTCTGATTCTTTTGGGGCTGCCACTAGGACAGGAAACTGCAGTCTGGGCTCTAACAGCTGTTGGGCTGAGGGCCTGGAGAAGAATGCCGGAGAATTACATTTTCTGGAAAGAACTTCATTGAAGTCCTGGTCTGGAGAAGGATCTTGTTATCCCCCTCATTAAGGATCTACAGTACCTGTGGATCCTGGGTATCAGACAGCTTCTTGGACAGTGTGAGTAAAGTTGTTGTGCAAGTTCTAGACATGGCTATATGGACTGCTGCTGTAGGGCCATTCCTTAATACTCCACAGAAAAGCTGCTATTGGACGATTGGAGAGAAGTTTGTCATCCTATGGCTGCTACTGATTGTTTTGGAGTATCCTGGGATCCTAAGGCCATCTCCTATAAAAGTTGCAGACTGATCCTAAATTTTTAGTGTGTGGGGATTATGCTGGTGTGGCTGGCAGTCTCTGTGCTACTTTGAGAGGCTCCTGTGACATAAACGCTATATATATATATATATATATATATATATATATATATATATATATATATAATTATACAGGATTTATATAGCACCAACAGTTTGCTCAGCGCTTTGCAATATAACGGGAGATAATACAGCAACAATGCAGTTCAACACAATAGGGAAAGGAGGGCCCTGCTCCTTGTTATTTACCCTATCATAGTGGGGTTTATTTACTAAAGCTGGAGAGTCCAAAATCAGACTCCCTTCTGCATAGAAACCAATCAGCTTCCAGGTTTCATTGCCAAAGCTTCATTGAACAAGCTGAGGTTAGAAGCTGATTGGTTTCTATGCAGAAGGGAGTCTGATTTTGGACTCTCCAGCTTTAGTAAATAAACCCTAGTGTGTCTACGTAAACTTAACCAAATCTCTAATCCTATCTATCACGCAAAGGTGAATTATGATTTTTTTTTTCATATTTTTAACGCTCAGTTATCTTTTCTCTGCACTTGTAGATGCTATGAAATGAATGAAAAGAGAGGAAGCCATAGAGAGAAATATTTCCCATCAAATGAGGCAGGACCTGGATCTCTACTAGACATTTTTTCTTTTGCATGGAGGGCTATGGCAGAACTCTCTGCCTGCATAAGGTACATGGTCCCAAAGGGGTTTCTCCTAGCTGCTAGTAGGTCATCGAAAATGCAACTACTCATCATATATGGCTAACCTCTTTGGAATAAGCAGTGGATATGCTGGTCTGTCAGTACTCTCACACTTCATCTAGGGCACCAAACCACCCAAACCCTGCCTGCAGTACAATAGATGCTAACACTTCTCTTTCACAGCACCAGTAAACCAGAATGGCAAATGAGAGCAACTTCTGGAATTCATGACATCAGATCTGCATCTGCCCTTTTCTTCTGGCTCCACCCCTGGATAATGAATAATTGCATGCAGAGTCGGTTTCTCAAATTTATGTAGCTCTCTAATGTGCACCTGTCACCGCTTTACAAATATGTCCCTCAGCACAAATACAATAGCTCATATGTTTAGTGCCAATGAATTACTAAAGTATTTATATCACAACGTAAGAATTCTACAAGTGCTTTATATAATTACACTTTTTAGTCTAGATTCTGGGTTCTATAACTAGTTGTTCTGTGCTGATACAGAGATCACTATAAAAGGAAGAAACTGGAGTTCTTCTAGTGGAAAATGTAGACTGATCTATTATCACATCTTATGTATGCATAACCAAATATCATCCAAATACAAAAGGGGACCAGGCTTTGCGATGTCACATGAATAATGCCAGCTGCTAAAAAAGAATTCAAGTAGATCTGACAGTTTTCATTGGTATGTTTCAATTTCTTCTGTCACTAGCAACAGATTAAATCAGTCAAGTGGGTTTAGCTTTGTAGAGCAGGATTCCCTTCATGATTAACACTTAAAAGGATGACTTCACACTTCTTCTTTGCACCTGTACCTAGGCTTATACTAATGCATGCAATTTTTAAATAAAATGTTGTGACATGCTTGGTAAAGGAATGCAATGTGTAGGATTAATCACAGAATGTATAACAGTTTACATTGACCAGCAATCCTTTGGATATTTCTGCTTCTTTTAAGAATTATAATAAGAAATAAAGTGCAAGAAATAAAATGCCATAATCTAAATGAAATTAAAAAAAAAAGTGGTACTGGAAAACACCTCCCGCTAAGTATAATTAATACTTCAAAACACAAAACAATTGTTTTCCGTTAACAAGTGTAGCACCAACCATATGCAAAAATAACCAACAATAAATCTGGTACTACAATACACCTTCATATAATTTATTCAAATAATACAATTCTGTGCCCCAAAATAAATGTATATTACCTAAAAAGAAGTTAGACCTAAAAAAGCACCTCCTCCTCCTATTTGTTGAAATACGTACATGTGTATACAACGTCAAGTACATATAGTTTTTCAGTGACTATAAACAAATTAAAAAGTCCACAAAAATGTAATCAATAGTGCCCCCGAAGTTTCCCAATGACGTGAATCTTCTTATATATTTTATTATTAAGTGCCATCAACTCCAGTGCAAGTCCTAGCGACTTGATAAATAAAAGCACTAACAAGAAGTCGGCTTTGTGCAAGTCTGGTGAGATCCTCCAGTGCCATCTCCACACCTGTAGTCAATGTGTTCAACCACCTAATAGCTGGTTTCCCTCTTCGCCTGGTTCCTTCGATCCTCTCAAACATTAGTTCCTTCTCCAGTGATCTCTCTCCTCTGACAGTGTGACCAAAATAGAACAGTCATATCTTCATCATTTGGGTTTTTAGTGACATAGCTGGTTTGATCTCATCCAAAATCCAGGGACTGTCCATGGCACAGATACAATTATACTAAATACCCCTTAAATTATTAAGTGGTTCCCTCAGCACTTGTTTGCTCTTTGTCTGATGTTTCCACTTTGGCTTTGGATGTATCCTGAGTACCCTCAAAAAGGTATAGAATACCACCAGTCCTTCTCTCCCTTCATTACCCACCAGATATTAAAAAAGAGACAGGGAAGGTGCCAGAAATAGTATAATCCTGTCTTATTCAATGCGCCATAATATACAAGTATTGCACTTACATTAATGTAGATGTATGCTGTTCGGTCCGTGGAACGCAACATGTATTCCATCTACTGCAATTAACAAAAATAGAATGTCACCTGATGCACCAAGTGATGTGCCTCCATCCCTTAATATAGCCATACAACCAATTTATTTGTCTTGGGACTTTAAATGAGGCACACCACACCAACGAATACTTAGTTTCCAACATTAACCTTTCATTTGTAATAAATGAGTAAACTTCTCATTGCTTACAAAAAGAGAATAAAATGGCAACAAGCTGATTTGTAATAAATCCATATTAATGCATTTCATACATAATTGGATATACAATTGACCATATACAATCTAGATTGCATCCATTAACTCGACACGTTTCGTGACTCTTAGTTCACTTCTTCAGGAGTAGATGCATGTATAATATCTGCAAGGTAAAAAAACATCAAGTATATAATGACCTAGTGGTATCTTGTTATATATAAAGTAGTTCCAATCTCAAGGGTCACCAGAGGGACCTTGATACTTACAAAGCAGCTAAAAAAATGTGTATTTCTAAATGGTGATCGCCAGGGGAGTCTCACCCAGGACGAAGACCCACGTGGACAAGCCAGAAGCAGATTCAAAGTGGGTAGGCAATCATGATAGCACCCAAAATAATAACTATGGAAAGAAATTTGGATATACATAATAGTAATAAATGAATGATGAAATCAAGATGAGTGATTAGCGACAAACATAATGTGTAATGCTGGCTGCAGTATAACAGTGAGTAAGGAGACGCATGGTGAGCGAGTATATGAGTGGTGTAAGAGACTACACCTAGTGGTAGAAGAAATGGAAAGACATCTAAGTCTCAAAGTCTAGTCCACAGAGAGGTGTGCCAGTAAAGAGAGAAAGACTCAAAGTACCCAATGCCGAATGTAAAGACAAAATATAGGCAGCCAAAGCATGAACCACCATAGATCAGATGCTCTCATTGCTCTCATTGTAATACTTAATAAATATTTGAGTCACAATAAATAAAATTGGAATGCAGCATTGGATGTAATTTAGCAGTAATTAAAAGAAACAAGATCACTTTATAAAATGTATAACAGAGAAAGAAAAGGGGACCCAAATCACAGAATCCAGTCCAAAGATGAAAGACTATACAGTGAAAAACAGACCACCAAGCACCCAAGGCCAAGTGTGAAAACAAATATAAGCATGCAAAACTTAGCCCACCATGCATCAAGAGCTGTACATCAAAGTGTTGCTTCTCAGTATCCTCATGGAGCAAACCACCTCCATAAGCTATAACTATTTTTTCCCAGGGGCTAATGAGCAGTCCCTCTCAACACCATGTGTGCGCAAATAAAGAGTGGAGGCACTCAACAACAGATGTGGCTTCTCAGTGTTCTCATAGGGAGAAAAAAAACACATAATTTTCATCTGCTACCACCATTTGTCCGCAGGGGCTAGTCGCTGGTCCCTCCCAACATCTACCAGAATGAATGCGGCGCAAATGACATAGCACGGGTTTCCTCTACGCATTTCATCTATCAGACATCATCAAGAGCATATGTTATTGGGTATTTTTGCATATGGTTGGTGTAACATTTGTTATTGGAACACAAATGTTATGCGTCTGAAGCAATAGATATGCTTAGTGGGGGTTGTATTGCAGCACCGTGTTTTTAAAAAAAAATTTATTTAGATTATGGCATTTGAAAACTAGTGCTGCACTGTATTCCTTATTATTATTTTTTCACTATCCAAATCAAGCGCTTTATGTCAAACTGTAAAATATTTTCTTTTTCACTACAACAAAAGTCCCCAACCAGTGTCTTAGAAGCTTTGTG